AAAAAAAAAAAAGGTTCAGACGTCTACGCTTCCCACAGGGCACAGGGAGAGCCAATTCATGGAGTCTATGGAGGGTACTCGGCGAATGACGAGGACAATAAAACGTTTCGACCTAAAAAAGAAAAAAAAAAGAAGAAGAAAATTGGCTATGTGAGACCGCACATAACATGAGCAAGTAAAGCGCTTGGCTCAACTTCACTGCATAGGCTTCATTATTCGGTGGAAACGATTTTTTCCGGGACTCGCCATTCGCCAATTGCCACCCAAAAGAGCAGTGACTTGCTAATCAAATGTTCGGCATAAAAAAAGAACATTATTATTTTTATTATTGTTATTATTATTATTAATATTTTTTGAGAGGGTAGAAGATGAGTCAGGGCCGAACCAACAGCGCCTATAGAATAAACAAAGCCCGAGGATAACCTCGCCTACCTCCACGTGACTTCATCACACCCTGATAATGCCAACTCGGAAGTTGTGTCCGACCCCGACGCCGAGCGTCCTTCGACGCGTTGATTGGACACGAGGCCCTGCCGAACGATGACACAGCGCTCGCGTCCAGTCTGCGTCTGCGGTCGATCTCACTCTGATGACGTCACAATTCTAGTGCAACAGTCACCGAGAACTTAAAAATTATCATTATTATGTTTTTTTTTTGTATTAGGGAGCCAATCACACACGCCCAATTCGTCTACTTCTTTCTCTTCTACCCGATCAGGATCGTCATATCTCGATTCGATGCGCTACGGTCGCATTCACGTATCCGCGGCTAGTGCCTATAGTCCTTCGCAAAAAACGCCTTCTGCGTGCCGCCATCTTCGTCTGCTGGGTTGTGGAACGCCTTCTGAGCATGCGCTGTAGCTCTGCTGTGCGGTATATCAGACGCTGCACACGCGTCCACAGCTCAGTGGCTCAGCATTTTTCGCCCGGGGGATAAGCGATGCAAAAGTCTTCCTCTGCATCGCTTATCCCCCAGGCAAAAAAGCTGAGTCACTGAGCTGTGGACGCGTGCGCAGCGTCTGATATACCGCACAGCAGAGCTACAGCGCATGCTCAGAAGGCGTTCCACAGCCCAGCAGACAAAGATGACAGCGCTCAGAAGGCGATTAAGTGTTAGAGAACGCCCGAAGCAGGATTGCCATTCGTGGGTCCGAGTAAATTGCTCTCCATGCGCATGCGCGTCGTCGCCATGCGCCAATCCGAGACACCTTTTGAGCTCCGCGCGCGCGCAGTGTGGAACACGCAACGCTAACGCAAACACACAGTGCTTCCGATTGCTCCTATACGCAACAATGAAACTCACCAATGTGACGCATTTTAAGGGCACTCGATTCTGGATGATTTTTAGCAGTCCATCTTTTGTGATACCTTAACTCCTTGAACAAGCACGTCTCGTTTCTTTAGTTTTAGAGAAGGATAAAAGGAAGCATGCTAGGCGCTGCTGTCTAAAATCACCGCCTCGCCATATTGAACACATCTGGTATCCTCGAAGCTGCCTCCCGTCATGGGCTGCTGACCCGTAGCCAAATTTTGCACAGTCTGTGCCCTAGTTTCTAACCAGGTAGGTATTTTTTTTTCTTAATTTACTGGCTGGCTACGGTGGGATGAACTGATAGAAAATACGACAAATGGTCGCCGAACAAGTCCAGCGGATCAGCGTCGTGGGGAATTGGATATCGCGTGTTGCTTGTGATCAAGTCGCAGCGAGCTTCGTTTTGTTCGGTGCCCTGTTCATTGCAACTGCTGTCGGTGTAGGCATTAGATAGTTGGAGCCGCCATCGGCATCCCAAGGTTCATTGACTTCCTCGTAGTTCAGTACAAGTTCATCCGAATTTTGGAGGATCATATGTCTGAGCTGAATGGTTTATTAATGTAATCTGAGGTACGCAGGTGGATCTAATAAATAGACTGCGGCTGTTGGTTACAAGAACAAGTTGGAAACAACTTTCTGTGGCAAGGATGTCAATAGTGTGGGAATCCGTGCGCTCGCACACTTTGAGTGCCGATCAAAGCTACTCATGTGCACTCTTCACTACTTCCGAAATACAACAGAAAGTTTTCTCCGAGTGAGTATAGCAATATTTTCACAGGAAGGCATTTGCGTGTTATGAGGCAAGGCAGTGCTTTTCTTTCTTTGTGAAGAACAAGCAGTTCAACGGTCGCCGGAACAGTAATTTGTAGGAGCTAAACCCCGGTTGTGATAGTTTTTTATTCGTTTTCATTTATTACAGCATACTGACACAAACCGTGTACTCAAGCATTTGCAGAGTCGCGTAATGACTCCCTGCTACATAGCGCCCGATATATCCTGTTGCCTGAAAATACATGGAAAGATATTTTTTTTTTTATATATATACGGCGTTATTGAGCTTGTGAGAACGGTGGAATGACCGTACAGGTTGGGATGTGCAAAAGTAATAGTAAAGTAATGGCGGCACAGTGTTTGACTATAGAAATAAATTGGTTTCAGTTCAACGTTCTCCTACTTATCGTCCAAACAAGTACAACCCAAAAATTTACCATCCCCCTTCTAAAAAAAAAAAAAGTACACCGTAATTTTTTTTTAATTGTAGCGGGAACAAAATGTCTAGAGCTATTGTGAAGGGTCTTAAAGTCTTGCTTACCACAGCGAACAAGGAAAAGGAAAGCCCAACTTGGCCTACCTCTTGTTTTCGGTATCATGGCTTTTACTTGGGAAACGGCCATAGCTGTCGCGATTACATTTTTTGCAAAGTATAAGAAAAAAAAAATGGAGGAAGTAAAATGAATCAAATAAATTACTTTACATCAAATTTATATAATATAAATCAAATTGATTTGAATTAAATCAGATTACTTTGATTTAAATCAATGAAGCTAAAATAGTGATTCTTTATCTTTATAATGCAATTAAATGCAAAGGGGCAAGCGAGCTGGACAAGAATGACGAAAATAATCCCTGGAGAAGGGGAACAAAGGGACAAAGGACAGGACACAAATCTCCAAACACAGCTAGGTGACTGGTGAGCGACCGAAAAAATCCGCCTGGTCTGGGCTCCAAACCCGTTTGCTCTAATGACATCTAACCCCTGGTTAGCTCAGTTGGTAGAGCGCTCCACATGTAATGGAGAGGTCTCGGGTTCGATACCGGGACCAGGCGTATTTTTTCGGTCGCTCACCAGTCACCTAGCTGTGTTTGGAGATTTGTGTCCTGTCCTTTGTCCCTTTTTCCCCTCCTCCAGGGATTATTTTCGTCATTCTTTATCACCAGATGTATTTTAAACACGGCAGATTGATCGATCAGTTCGTCCGATCACTGAAAACCATGTGGAAGAAAGAAATACTGGAAATGTAGAATAGTTTAATAAACCACTTTTATTGATGTAAACCTCGCCGTACCAGAACAAAAGAAGCTTGATTTCGTTTAGTTATAGCGAAAGCTTCTTTTTTTTCTTCTTTTGCATTCTTATTTGCTTGCAATAGGACATGACGCAACTGATGGACGAAGTGGAAGGTCGAAACCTTCAATCAAATCAAAGCTAAACGCTTTGGTTTGCTTAGAGGAGCGCCGCTTTTTGTTCGTGCTTAGCCTGCTATAAATCTTTTCCGCTTGATGACTCTCCTAATAAAATACAAAACAAATGCACATAGAAAGCATAAATTGAAAGAAAAACATTAAGTAACAAATATTGGGGAGATTATTTTTTTTTTTGCGAGAAAGGGTTTATTTAAATCGTTATATAATAAAACCGCTGTGATTTAAATTAAGATTTAAATCATAATTGAATTCTATTCATTTTTATTTTACATCCTGCATGACTTTTGCATAATATTCTCAATTGCAACACTGTTGCCACATTCCACTGTTTTTATTTTTGCTTTTGCTTAGAATTTTTTTAATTTACTACCACAGAGTCTCCTACGCTATGCGAGTTATATTAAATTATGTATAATCAATTATTTTCAGGAGTAATGTTAAAATCGCTTTACTAATTCATAATTTCAGCGATTTGGGACTAACCTTGACATAGATTTGGGTAATTACGTGACTAGGCAACTGCCCACCGTCCGAAAAAAAAAAAAGAAGAAGAAATCTATGAATGTCTCGCGCGAAAAAATGTTTTATCACCCTCTTAGTATCCGTGTTGCAGTCATTAAAATTGTCATACAAAAATAAGACACGCCATGATTCTATTATAACATAAAGTAAAGCAATCACGGAACTGCCAGTTACTTCTTGGAGTAACGCTGAATTCATTTGGGTGCCGATCGAGTACTCAAAGAATCAAACCAAAAACGTTTCACACCGGAAGTAATAAAAGAAATTGCTTGTTTTTTTTTTAATTATGTAGAAGACTGATTAACATAAGCTACATTGTGTGTACAAATTTTAACTCTCTTTTGAAATATTAAGGATTCCAGTTGTACCAATCTATTTAGCATGCGTGTGTGTCGTTCTGGTATAGCCATCGTGTTTGCAGGAGTTCATTTTGTTTACCGTGCATTTGTCGTGATGTACGTTTGTTTGCATTTTTAAGTGTGGCTTGCGCAGGTAAGCACGCTATTTCATTCTGATTAAATTCAGTTGTCAATAATCTACTGGCTTATTGTTTTACCGATTGCACATTAGCATTTTGCTGCGAAGATGCAGATGTTCTATCTACGTTGTGCAGGTTAACACCTCTGCAAAAGCAATGAAATATTAAATACAATGAATGAAAAATAATAGTCCCCAAAACACAACGTAGAACGCTTATGCGCACAAATGACTGACTTCACCTTTTCAGAAAGAGATAATTCAAACATGCGAATTCTTTTTGGTGTGTGTGTTTTTTTTTTGCATTGAATAGTACGTGCAATGGCGAGGGTGCTTTGGTCAAGCTACCAGAGCGAGCACTAAGCGAGTGGTTAAACTGTAATAGTATATTATATCATACTGTTTTCATATATGAAGTCGCATACATAAAGGATTCCGCGAATGTAACATGTTTGTCCTAAGATTCATATTTTCGGACACCGAGGTACCGCCATCAACGAAACAGCCTGACGTAGGACAAACAAGTTGGAGCAAGGTGAGTGATAATACAACCAGGCTTGAATTCTAGTATTTGTGGGAAGACATTACGATGAAACATTGTCAAGACCGTAAGAAAGCGTCACAGTAAAGTTTGCGCCAGAATGGCAGAATAAAACGGAACTCACTACACGTTCAGGGATTATCAGGTATTCAGAAAACATCGTTGTCATGCAAGCAGACAAAGTTATCTGAAGAAAGTACATACTTTGGCAATAGGTTCGAAAGTGTAAAGTGGATGTGTGTCTATTTTTCTGGTAAATTACTTTTCCTTCTTGAGCAGCAGCGCACATAAAGTAAAACAAAAAACAATTTTAAAGAAAAGGAGGCATGTTAGAGAGAAATTGAAGTACATAATAAAATGCTGCTGCTGCAAACAATAAAATAACAATAACTGCGGGTAATTATTTTTTGGACTTGAGTTAAACAATAATTTTTCTCCCGTCTAGCAAGGTAAGATGGAGCTCCGACTTACCAAAACAGTCTGCTACCTTGACGCACGCGAAGTAGCGTCGAAGTACCAAATTTGTTAGCAAATTGAAATCAGACTGTTCGTATAAATACGAAACAAACAAAACAAAACAAAACAAAACAAAAAGTGATAGACAGATCAGTGCCACTCATCTCGTAAAAGTCTTTATGATCTTTGCAAATGAAAAAAAAAGAAGAATTAACTATATCGCCCTAAGCTTAAAGTTTAATGAGCTTTAATTGATAAAATGTTGAAGCACTCGAAATACTATCGCCCGCAAAGGAAGCATTATGACGGAACTCGAAAAAGCGTCTTGGCCAGTTTAAAGGGATACCACAACGAAATGTCAGCGCTTATTTATTGGTTTATACGTGTTCAAGGCAGGAGTACCACTTCGGACATCCCAATTTCTTGTTTAAGAAAACACGAAAAGGAATTTTAAAACGAATTAAACGATTAGGAAATGACACCTGGTGGATGTCGCTAAAGCTTGGTTTGTAATGTCCGTCTAGGAGCATTGACAGGTAGTGACGATGCCCGTCTCAAACCATGCGTGCAAGCATGTGAAGCATGGGCGTGAGCGTAGCTTTGGCAAGCTTGTAATTGCACGCACTTGCCCGCCCGAGCAAAGACATGGCGGCGGCCAGAGGCCCTGCTTGCAATCGTCTTGTCGACGTCAGCCTCGCTACAGCTTTGCTCGTCCCGACACAGGCTACGTCACAATTGCGCCGGGCGTCACGTGCTCTCCGCTGGCTGCTGTCCGAGCGCTTGCAAGAGTGGGCCGTTTAGAACGAAAAATACATCATCAGGCTCAAAATACAAACCTGCGATTGTCATTTACGGATATTGTGGGTCAGTGTCAGCCTATTTCTGAACACAAAGGGTATATTTCAAATTTCGTGGAAGTGTTCATTTAAGGGGATATAGCCTCGTCTATATATTTTCGCGAATTCCTACATATACTTGGGTCGATTCCAACGATCATGAAGCCATTTTTAACCTCCCCGCCCCTCCCCTCCCTTCCCCGAAAAAAACTTCCCAAAGTGGTTAGGAGATTGTCGACGAATATTCTGGAGGTTGCCTTTTGTGGCCTTTGCTTGGTAGCATGCAAAAAACACTCCGGATGACGTTTTCACAAGGGTTGGAGAAGTACGGTACAATATACGTCAAGGCTTTAGTATGTGCCACTAACATAGATGTTTACCGTGACGGGGCGACTTTTAATCAGATAGCGAAGCGAGTCGCTGTCGCATTCAGCTTAATAGAAACATTTGCATATCGCTCTTATTTTCCTCGCCATGAACGCTTCGTTGTCGTTACAGATAGCGTGAATTGGTTTGTACTAAAACGTGTGCCATGAGGTCCACCACAAGAACATGATTCGAATGCGCTCCACTTTGCTAATAAAATCGGACCTCGTCACGTTACCGTTACTTGTCGGCACTTTTTTTTTTTAAATCACTAGGCGCCAGTAATTTAACCGAAAGTGAGCCGCGATGTTATGTCTTTCGCATATTCGAATCACGAGTGAACCATTGTTGTTAAATGTGTCCATTGTAATGCTGTTTTTACTGTTATTGTTGCTAAACTTGGAGAGCAACGATTACATAAGTAGGACGGGACGTAATATAGGTGGTGATTTGTTTGCATAGGCTATTTATTGCAGTCACCGGTACATCATTCAGAATACTGTTAACCTGAAACAGTGGACATACCGTACAAAAAAGGTCGGACAACAGAGAGTCTAGAAACAGATATCGCTACTATAAATCATCCTTCTGTTTTAATTCAGCTGTGGTTGAAGATGTGGAACAGGGCAACTGAAACAATAAACCATTATCGAATGAACGCGCAACCAACAGCGTCGCTCGCCTCTGGGTTGAATATTTTATAAATAAGCTGCGGGTGTAGAGTGCTCAAAAACACGAAAAAGACCAGAGGAGCGCTTGGCCTCGCTAGAGTAACTGTATAGGTGCGAGGCTACGCGTTCCGCTGATCTATTCACTTTCGTTGAACACTGTACGTTCGTGTGTGTCCCACTTACATGTTCTACGAAGATTTGCGAGGGTAGCGTTCACGTGAAGCGTACGTCAATTATCTCGTTAGTTTGAATCTAAGGATTAGCATCAGTGCCATATTTCCACCATCGAGCAATAAAGATCAGCCATGCGTGCCGTGGTGGTTTCTCCAAACGTGCTGTCTTCTGTCGGGTCCAGTAGAGTGCACGCAAGGGAAAAAATACAAATAGTTTCATATTGAGAAACTAGAGCACTATATGACAGTGATACGATTCACGGTAAACCATTTTATTTCCGACAGAAATCGATCTAAATACCCAAGACACACTGACAAGACGCATCCGGTATAGATATAAACTAGTAAGTATCCGTTGGCATTTTCATGGTGCTGATACTAGCAAACAATCCAGGTGAGCCTACGACAAAGTCGAACTCGAGTAAATATTCCTAGATTATTGTGAGTGGCTACAAAAATAACTATACGAAATGGATATACAGGCCGAAAAAACTAGGTATACTTCGTTTGCCGATATCTCACCGGATATTTCTACAATTGTGTCTCTCAAGTGCTTTGCGGTAAAGTCGGCGCTCCAGATATTTTTTTTTTTTTATAGAGTGCAAAGTAAGAATTAGAAGTAGAGGAAAAAGAAAGGAAATGACACGAAATGTTGGAGAATTTTATGATCGAGAAAAATAGCTTCTTAAACATGTTACAGAACAAAATTAAAAGTAACGCTAAAGACGAGGACAAGTAGAAGACACAGACACGGACAGGCGGTGTCCGTGTCCGTGTCTTCTACTTGTCCTCGTCTTTAGCGCTACTTTTAATTTCGTAGTGTATAACCAACTAGCCCGCCACATGATTTATGTTACAGAAACCCCTTCTTTTCACCTAAATCTCTCATTTTTATTACATATCCAGACACAAATAAATGTAATAACGTCACTAACTGCTCAATTGGTCTTGAATTATTCGCTTAGATATGCGGGGGTTCTCGCGTTCTTTGCTAATACTTGCGAATAAAACACTTGTCGAGGTAAGACCCACGTATGAAGGAAACGACTGCTGACAAAAGGTATTTGAAAAAAAAAAAAAAAAAGATCTTAAGGAGTTGGTGGATATTTTATTAGGAGAATTACTAACATTTTGACTAGGAAGCCATTTTCTTGCTACGGACCATTTGAACCCCCAGGATCTACAGCATTATGTTTTTTTAGATAAATCGAAGCACGTATTGCAAAAATTTACGAAAAAAAAGTACTAAAAAAAAGTTTTTCGTCATTGTAAAATTGAGTGACAGTTTTGCAGTGCAGACAATGGCCGACTTGTCAGACCCATACGAAAACGTCCGTACTAATTTTCACCCCAAGAATCGCAGTTAATAAGAAGTACCGCTGCTTTGTACAAAACAATATATCGATTTAACCACATGAAGGGGTAAATTAAAATACTTCACTGTGCAGTTAAGATCAGTTATTTGTTATTGTTATGAAAGAACTCGCACGTTTCAAATGCAAAATAAAGAAACATCGTTTTCTCCCTGAGAATTACATATCTAAGAGCTACCTCGCGCAACGTGTGAACTATGTGCAAAGCGTGTTTCTTCTAGAGGTGACGGAGAGTATAGTCCAAGACAACATGCTTTTGAAACTTGGAGAACATAATAGCGCTTCACGACAGGGACGAAGAGTAGGAACGAGAGAACACAATGCGCTAACTTCAACTTCTCGTTCCTACTCTTCGTCCCTGTCGTGAAGCGCTATTATGTTCTCCAAGTTTCAGTACCAACTCGCCCAAGAATCCGCATTACTCAACTTCATGCTTTCGAAAGCTATTATTGCTCACATTTCCGAAGGCTGCAATCATGCGATTCAGGAAGACACGCGAACTATATCGCACTGGTTGTATCTCTCTGCTCGTAGTGAAATTGCTTTCTTTTAAAATCTTATCGAGTAACTAATGAACCTCCTTCGAAGGGTATGACCAGATGTACGCTAGACTTGGAAATGTGTTGCATTATACATAATCTTTACTTCCGCAGGATATGAAGTACATCAACAAGCTTTTTAAACGGTGGAAATTCAGCTAGGCATCAGAACGGCACATGGAATCTTAGAACGTTTAGTTTAGTCCACTGTAAACATCAATGACGGGAACCACACCTAGAGAGTTACGGCAACATTTATGCAAAAATCTAGTCGTAAAATATATTGGTGAATTATTAATTGGATCGGTGTGATATCGTCTAAAAACGTTTAGAGTAAACCATCAAGAAAAAGAAAAAAAAACAAAAACACGTTTAGCCTAGTTGCCGTCTGAAGTCGCACTATGTAATGCTTTACGCCGTATCCTTCGTCACGATGCTGGCAAAATATTTCATAGTCTTCGATTATGTACGTATTGATAACGGGTCTCAGAAAAATAATATATGCTACGCATGATTTATTTATGCATGACGGTCAGTTAAACTGAGTGGCACGACTGCCTTCGAAGAAATGGCTTATCGTATTTACGCTAGATTCTATATTTGTTAAGGAATCGAGTTTTAGACAGCTGTATAGTTATTTAGCAAGAAGAAAAAAGCACGAAAACAAAAAAAACAAGAACAGGGTACTGTTCGGGAAGCAGAAAGTGCCAGCGAAGGTTGTCACTCCTAGATACATAAAAAAGTGTATACTGGGGAAACACGCTTGACTGGAATCAAGTCACTCCTGTGAGCAATAACGCTACAGCGCTTCAATGGGGCCCATCTGATGCGATTCCCTAAGGTGGAAGGGCCTCTCCTTGCGCCCTGGCTACGCCACGGTACACTAAATGTGAGACAGAGAAGCCTGCCTTGAATATCATCGACGGCGAGGCATGCCAAGAAGCATCGGCCCCGCGTGTCGTATGCACGATGCGTGCCCGATGTGGGGAGAAAACGGTTGCGATCTGCGTTAGTTCGCTCAGCAGTCGTTCTGCACTGACTTTGCGTCGGGAAGCGCGCGAGGGCTCTCGGGTGGCCGGTTTCCCGGGCGCTCCTTTCGAGACTGGGGGCGCGGAGGAGGTCACCAGCGAGTCCCTTTCTTATCCGGCCTCCTCTTCCGACAGGAAAGGCGTCTTCGCGGCGGAGTATCGCCTCCGACGTAGGCGGCGCCGGCGTTGGACGATGACGGCCAGGGACCTAACAACAAGGAGCTTCTGCACTGAATCTGAGCAGTGCGCATCGATCGAGCACGGAGGTGGAGCCTGGGGCCCGCACTGGCCCAGGCCCGGCTCCGGCGGGCAACCCTTTTGAGCCGCCCATTGGCAGAGACAGGGGCGGCCACGCCTTTCGCTCTGACACCGCTCACGGGACGCAGTACTTTGAGCCTTTTTGCTTGACGTCCCCCCCCCCCCCCCCCTCACTGCTCCCCCCTTTCCGCTCTTCCTTCTATCCTACAAGCACACAAAACACACACAAACACAGACACACGCACACGCACACACAGACTCCTTTTATGAAACTGGCAGGTTTTGTTTTCACCGTTAATCAAGGCCTTCTTCTGTGCGTCTTCACGGGAGGGGGGGCCCAAGGACGTACGGGTCGATTCCAAGATGGCCACCTGGCGTTTGTTCGGCGGACAAGGACTCGCATATGAAGCGCGAAGGAAGGAATAAAGGTGGCTAGGAAATAAAATGCGAAGAAAAGCTTGGTACTATCTGGCTCGGCTTTGTCTGTGTGTGTGTGTATGTTTTTCTTTCATGCGGCATTGTATGAGAAGACAGACGCAAAACAGGTGAGAAAAAGAAACACCCAGGAGGGAGGAAAAAAGTCACGTCGTACAGAGGTAAGATTTTCTATTTGCCTTTACCAACTACCTAACTGTATTGTGTTGCGCAAACTCGTAGGTCGAAATAGTGTGCGATAGATAAGCTACTGCGAGTTTCAAAACATTTATGGTGTTAGCGATTGTAGGTAACTCGTTTACGGGGTTAGGTTACGCACTTCTGTTTTTCTTTCTTCTGGGTAGTCACCTGTTATCAGAGAAGGTGGAAAAACAAAACTAAATCGGGGCATTCCTTTTTGCCTTCCACAATCGCTCCGCAACATTGCCCTCGTCAACGTGTGTCCTAGAAAGGTTATAAAAGAATATACCCGTCTTTGAAGATATTGGAAGAATGTAGGCGAACTGCTGGAAGTCCAACATATAAAGCCAGAAACATATTGATTTATGGCGAATTCCACCGGTCGTTATGGAGCGCGCCGGGATCAGTAGACCAGATCAGAGATTGAGCACGTGATCCGAACGGAGTCGCTCCACCTCCAGATCCCCACTGAAACATGAGCACTTTTCCGGAATCGGTGGATGCCTTCCCGTCATTCACCTTCCCGGGAGTCCTCTTCCCGGGAATCCCCTTCCCGCGGTCCCGGATCTCGAAGCACATGTTTTCGGAGTCATGGCGCTAACAACACTTGCTCAACGCACCAGCGAAGTTAATCATGGTGTAAAAGGTGCGTGTCGATAAGCGATGTGCATCAGCGTAGTCCACTTGCCTCTTCATCGGAATACTCGTGAACGGTGTCCAAGTACGTACGGCTCGAGTTCCGACCCCTTCTGCGGAGGTCCGAAAAGGCAGTCGAATTCGTGCGGGACATAAAGGCAATCCCAGTTGTCGCTGCTACTCGAGTCGCTGCTGCTGGAGGGGCTGGTAGAGCAACTTGACGACGAACTGTCATCAAGCAGCAGTAAATCGGGCGGCACTTCGCGTGCGGGCATTACGAATTCTTCCGAGGCGAGATGCGAGATGATCGACGAGAAACGAAGTCACGCGTGCGCACCGAGGGCTGGCCAGGCTGGTTTCTGGTCAAATCCGCCGAAATTGGCGGAGCGACTTTTCTCGGATCCGGATCAAGATCTGGGGTGGGAACTGATCCAAAAGGATGAGTGGAACACGCTCGCCTCGATTCTGATCGCCCAGTGAAATTGGCGCGCTCCAGAAATGTCGATCCCGGCGCGCTCCGAAACGACAAGTGGAATTCGCCATCAGAGATAGAGAGAGGGAAAGGAAAAAAAAGAAGATACGCACAAACACAACAACTAGCATTTTTTTTTGTACCTCCGTGTTTGCCTATATACGTATTCGTACAGGCTTGCAGAATTAGGAATGATAGCTGCGTTTTTTCTAAATACAAATAGCCAGGGTATAAATTCTCGACTGAAACTAGCTTGACTGTGGAATATGATGGGAATTAATTCATAAAATAAAAGCAAATATCACTCAACGTCCATATCAAAAGGAACGCAAAAAAAAAAAAAAAACATTCCGGCGATGAGTATGAACATTAGCTCACGTAACAATAGTAATCCCTGGAGCAGTGGAACAAGGAGGACAAAGGACAAACAAATCTCTAAAAACAGCTATGTGACTGGTGCACGACTAAAAAAATCCGCCTGGTCCTGGTATCGAACCAGGGACTTCAACATTCCCAGTGGAGCGCTCTACCAACTGAGCTAACCAGGAACTAGACGCGAGTAGAGCAGACGGGTTTCAACATCTGCCACCAGAATAATACCAACAAGGGTGAACGGCCTGCATTTTAAGGTTCATATGGGCTTGAATTTTATTAATTCAAGCCCATATGAGCTATGAATTCATGTATACCGACAGGAGTGAAATGATCTACTACAGTAGAGAATCTCGCTATTTACCAAAACGAGTACAGCAGTGCGAGCTGGCTACTTTGGCGAGCGATGAGATGCACGGGCCAAATGCACTGACAGCGAGGTGATGGAGGCCAGAGGATCATTGATTTATTTTAGAAAGAGCTCCTATTCGTGTTTCCTAGCATGCGCGTCAAGCACTCACTCGACAGCTTTATACTTTGTCCGCCACGAGCATTGTGATTTTTGTTTTAACAGTGGTGAATCAGCATGAAACCTTCACTAAACATAATTACATTTTGGACGCTCGATGCCTCTTGCTTAAATATAGAGTGCGGATACTTAGTTTCATATTGAATGAAAGAGAGGCAGAATAATTAAACCGGAGCTCCAGGTGTCGTGCGTTTGATGTTGAGGGCGTAAGAGATGGTGCGACCGACTTCGTGCTTAGGTGAAAAAGTTATGCTTATTCTCGTGCCGCCGGGCTGGTGTTGCCTACTTCTTTCAAAATCTGGACAAAGGTCCTGGCTATCGTCTCGACAGTGATGTCAGCCAGGTGAGTAGATTCAAATCACCTGGCATAGCGATCGACGAAAGTCAGGATGCACGCCAAGTGTGGGCACGATGGCCAGGGGCCCACGAGATCGAAATGAGCATGGTCGAACCGTGCACCATGGGCACGGAATGGCATCAGGGGCGTGACGGTGTGTCGGCTCACCTTAGAACGCTGACATTGAAGGAAGCTCCTGGCTGCCTTCAATGTCAGCGAGCCCGACGACACGAGACTAAACAAAACGTTTTCACCGAAGCTCGGAGTCGGTCGCACCATATCTTGTTCTCAGCAACAAACCCGCTACCCCAGGCTGTGAGTGTGATTTCTGTGCAAGCCAGAGCGCTCACTACAAGCAACGTTTAAAGCAGGGGTCGGCAACCCGTGGTCACTCATGGACCACATTTTTTACCTCAAATGGGGTTAGACAGGAACAAGAAGTACTTCCAGTAGGCATTGTTCATCATTACCCGGGCAGATAACGCCTTCACTTTGTTTTTTGTATTTTCTTCACTCCCCCCCCCCCCCTCCAAAAAAAAAAAAAAAAAAAAAAAAAATCGGGGTTGCGAAATTGTACTGGAGGTGTTACATTCTCTAGATAAATATTATAACTTTTTTTTTCTAGTTTACATAGCCGAAGGCACTTCGCTAAACTCCAGCTCCGATTATCTAAACCAGAGAAAATAAATAAAAATATGGGTTTAAACACAGCAGTGGTCACATGTAACTAAAGTTTCCGAAGCATGCCGTCAGAATGTTTCAAAGCCTTTCACGCAAACGCCTCAGAAGGAAAAGTAAGCGACGAAGGCAAGTTCCCGTTTAGCCGCGAGTCTGTAAACGGCAACATTTATTTATGTCATGGAGTAATAAGGTAACCTTGGACCACCGTGATTACCTAATTACCTTTGCGTCTGTAGTTGAGACGATCGAATTTTATAGGGTGAGAACCTCATGGAACCTGCAATGCACTTTCGGCGCGGCGCGCTAGTCCCCGTCACCGGGAACCAGGACGGCAGGGAAGAGCTTCTACGGACGCCCCTCTAGATTCGATTAGCTGCCAGAGCAACACGATGTGCGGACGCAGTCCGCGGGCCGCGTTTGTTCCAGGAGGAAATTAAGGGGATTCTTTGCGGAGCGCTTTCCGGTCTTATCTCGAAACGCACCGGGAAGCTAGAAGGATGCGTAGGAGTTACTGTCGAGAACCCGCAGCATCGAAACCCCGTGACGTTTTTAGAATCGAAAGCGGTTCTCCGAGCTTATCACTCGAAGAACTCCGTAATTTGCCCACAGAACACTACACTCAGCACAGATTGGGAGCATTCAGGTGTTTGTGTGCACCAGTCGCTTGCCTTCAACAGTGTTGAGAGGAATTCGCAACACGAGGAAGAGGCACGAGGAAGAGGCGGAGTTGAGGGGACACTCTCAACTCCACCTCTGGACTTAACCCACATTTTCATGAGGTAAAGGCGAATGGTGATCTAGGAGCGTAGTGTAGTCACCGATTTAGGGGCTGGGGACAAGTAGTAGCTCACCCGGAAGGGTAACTGCCGCTACGTTGTCATTCCCCTACTTCCCCCGATATTAAATTGTAGCCTCAAACCGATAACGCTATCGGACAGTCACTTTGCAAAACTTGCACCCTGTTCAACGCGAAAACAAAACAAAACAAAACTTAAGCCGAACAATTTTGATGGCATCTTTGCATACTAAGGTAGCAGCACGTAAAAGAGCACAGTGGTCGCACAGTGAAGCACTCGATGCTAGGCGAACCCTATCGCTGCATAAAAAAAGAACAACGAAATACAGTAATCTAATATGGTAACTAGCTTTTATAATTTTGACCGGTTATCTATTCATTTATACTGTGAAGTGCGCAGATTTAGCGGGGCTTACAGAACGGGGCTCATGTTTAAACGTGCACAATGTACAGGGTGTCACAAAAAAAAGTTTTTTTTTTACCACAAAAATAAACTATAGCATCGCCGAACGCTCATTGTCTGCCCAAAGGTAGCGCTAGAGGTCACAACCAGATGCTAAAGTTTCAGCCCGATCCGATACCTTATTCAAAAGTTATAAGTGATTTTCTGAAAACTTTAGTGGGAAAATGGTGGCCGACGGAGTTTTCGAATACATGGGGCTCTATGGGCGCCAGAAACCGAAAACGGGCAAAAATGGGCTCCATTTTCCCATTGAAATTTTCAGAAAATCACTTATAACTTTTGATTAAGTTATCGGATCTGGCTGAAACTTTGGCATCTGGTTGTGACCTCTAGCGCTACCTTTGGGCAGATAATGAGCATTCGGCGATGCCTAGTTTATTTTTGCGGTAAAAAAAAAAAAAAAAAAAAAAAACTCCGTAAATATTTTTTTGTGACACCCTGTATATCGAGTCACGTGTTTCTTAAGATTGCAAAGAGTACACTGCGGTTCATAAAGCTGCGTTTCACTGCGCCGTCTGATAGTGAACCGGCGTAATCGTAATCGTCAGAGGCCAAGTGAATGC